CGACACTTGTCCGGGTGCTCGAAATTATTTCTGGGATGTGGTCCTTAAGTACGACGGGAGCAACATAACACGAGCCGTCCAAGGGTAATCCCCCCCCTCCCCCCTGGGAAAACGTCCTGACCGTCGGAGCAGCAGACCTGGAGGCAGCAGGAACAGCACGAAATTCTTCGCGCTCGCGGCGCGCGGCGCCCTGGCCAGGGAGCACTGGGCCACCAGTCGCTGGGAGCGGGAACAAGTCGGTCTCCGGGAACACCACACTTCCATCAAGTCGGGGCTCAAGAGACGGGTGTCCGTGCAAGCGGGGGTGAGCCAGAGCGCCAGATCTTGCAGGATCCTGCAGGGCCAGGGCCGCACTGACCCGGGTTTGGGTGCAGGATCCTACAGGATCTTGCGGGATCCTTCGCATTGACCCGGGTTTGGGTGCAGGATCTTGCAGGATTTTGCAGGGCCTGGCTGACCCGGGTCTGGATTGACCCGGGTCAGAAGATCCCCGATCCAGGAGGATCTCATTTCGAGCCAGCGCCAACGACCTGCAGTCAGAAGCGCTGGCGCCCGCACTCCAGGCACTTTCCACCTCGGGCGAAGAGAACTATGCACATGCACCGGTCCTGGCCAGGCCCATCCTTGGCCCCAGGATCGGTGCATATATACCTTCCTGGCCAAGGTAGGAGGGCGTATGCACCGATCCTGGGCTCAGGACGGGCCTGGCCAGAATCGGTGTATGTGCATAGTTTTTTTCCTCTAGCTCCAGGCACTTTCCACCACTGCTGGTGGACGGCAGCACCTGGCTGGCCGCAGAGCGGGCAGAAGATCGGCACCCGGCAGCCAGCGGCCGCGGCGCGCGGGAGGGCTGCCACAGGCCGCCGCGCGGCGCCATTCGGATGCATCCCGTGTCTGGAGGCGAGCGTCTATCGGGTCGGGCGAAAGGGGGGGTAGCAAAGGGGGGGTTTGAGAATCAGCTCACGTAGCTGATTTTCCCGGCGCCTCCCAGCGCCAGGAGGCGGCCATGTATCGAGGAATGGGCTCCTCGGTGGGGCCGAAACCAGCTGCATGCAGCAGATTTCGTAACCCCCCCCTTTCCCAATCCCCCCCTTTCGCCCGGCCCGAGTCTACGAGACGCCAGCCCTCCCAAGACGATCTCGGTGCGCCGCCTGTATCTCTTTCCTACTTTAATGTCCCGCCCGCCCGACCCGACCCGCCCGTTACGGTCCACCCGCTGGTCCGGCACGCCTGTTGGGGCCCGCTCCTGCTGCTCCTCATCCTCCTGATCATCTTCCACTCTTCCTCCTCCTCCTCCTCCTTCTCTCCGTCCACCTCGGGCGCCTCCGCCAGTGCAGACACCAGCACCGACACCAGCACCCATGCTTGTGCATGTGCCTTCACCGACGCCAACGCCTACACCAGCACCGACGCCAGCACCGACGCCAGCACCGACGCCGACGCCTAACCCGACACCATTGCCAACGCCTCGACCTGCATTCGACCCGCGGTCGAATAAACCTTGCTCCCAGGGTGTCATCCCACCCCGTGGGATAACGAGTGCGCCACCCATCACTTCTATCCCCAGCTCCGACTCCCCATCTCCGACGCCAGCACCACCGCCAGTGCCTACGCCAGAGCAGACGCCAGCACCGACACCAGCACCCACGCTTGTGCATATGCCTTCACCGACGCCAACGCCTACACTGGCACCGCCGCCAGACGTGCATTCGACCCGCGGTCGGATGAACCCTGCCCCCGGCGTCTTATCCCACCCCATGGGATAATGTGTGCGCAACCCATCACTTCTACCTTCAGCTCCGACTCCCCAGCTCCGACTCTCTAGCTCCGACGCCCAGCTCCGACGCCCGCACCACCACCGGCGACTACGCCAGCGCAGACGCCAGCACCGACACCAGCACCCACGCTTGTGCCTATGCCTTCACCGACGCCAACGTCTACACCAGCACAGACGCCAACACCGACGCCAGCACCAATGCCAACGCCTAACCCGACGTCGATGCCAGCGCCTAGACCTGCACTTGACCCGCGATCGAATGAACCCTGCTCCCAGCGTCTTATCCCACCACATGGGATAACGTGTGCGCCACCCACCACTTCTATCCCCAGTTCCGACTCCCCAGCTACGACGCCAGCGCCACCACCGGCGCCTACGCCAGCGCAGACGCCAGCGGCGCCCCTTCCACTACCACCACCCGTGCCGAGCAGTCGCACCTCCATTCCAGCTCCGACTCCTGCTCCGACGCTGGCCCCGACTCCAGCTCCTACCCCACCGACTCCGACCTCCCAACGGATGAATTCAATGCACGACCCTGGCGCAGGGAGTTGCGCTGCTGGGCCCATGGCGCACCGGTACCACTACCCGTGCCCGTCACCTTGCAGCCTCCACCCTGCATGGGGAGGGCTACTAACAATCTTCATCGTGGTTCCGATTGTCTTCATCAGCCGTAGCACCAGCAAGATGGGCAGGGAGATCTTGATACCGGTGCCGGGGTACGACAGTATGATGGCGATGGCGTGAGCCGCTCTCTTGCAGGCCCCCTCCTTTGCGTTCCTCTTCCTCCGTCCCCTCCTCGTTGCCTGGGTGCCCGGGCTCTCCCAGTTCTTAGTTAGTGGATCTGGCCTGGTTCTCCTGCGGGGCAGGTGATCCTTGCTTCCTAATACCCCTTTGTGTTTCACTTGTCCTCCTCCTCCTCCCCCTCCTCCTCTTCGCGTGGCGCTACACTGTCCTGCTCACCTTGTTGTGTCGACGACGGAGTGGACGCGGAAATCTGCAGTCCAGCTTCCCCGCTTCCCCGCCGAGGTAGGGTTCACTCTGGCGCGAAGAGGCGAATGGTGGTTCGACGTTCTTGGGATGTCAACAAAAAAAAAAAAACTTCGCGCGCGCGGTGCAGCATATGTGCCGCGGTTGCAGGAGGAACCGGAGGAGGAGGAGGAGAAGGAGGAGGAGGAGGAGGAACCAGAGGAGGAGGAGGAGGAGGAGGAGGAGGAGGAGGAGGAGGAGGAGGAGGAGGGGGAGAGGGAGGAGGAGGAGGAGGAGGAGGAGGAGGAGGAGGGGCAGGGGGAGGGGGAGGAGGAGGAGGAGGAGGAGGAGGAGGACCATTGCAAACCTAAGGCGCATCAGCGATATTTGCATGCACCCTCCCTCCGAGTTTTCTCGTCGGTCCCTGCAGGTTTTTTTTTGATTGTGGGGAGTGCTCCTTTTGGAAGGCAGTCGTCCGAGAATCCCCAATCATGCCAAGCACACCACTCTTGGGACTCCGACGCCTCGAGTCAACGAAACAGGTGCGTCCTGACCATCCTGAAGGGTGACTTCAGCACCGCGAGTCAGTGAGACTGCTGCGTCCTGGCAAAAATCATGCCCCATGGCAAAACATGCCTGGTAAAAATCAATGCCCCGTGGAATTCTGAATATTGCAAAGCAGCCGATGGCAAAACAGGCCGTGCAAACATCAGTGCTCAGCGGAATTTTGAAAATTTCAAGGCGCTTCGTCTGTCATTTTTTTTGTGTGTTTTCATTCCGCGGGCCCAAAAGTTAACAGCCATGGCCTGCTAATGGTCGCTGTAGGAGACCCCCTCACTAACAGATGGTGCCAGAAGAGAGTTCCTGATACCTCAGCGAGTCCTTGAAACGGTTGTAAGCTCGGGCTCGCGAGCATGCTGGGGCGCCGCTGTGCCAGGCCACCGACTCTGTTCAGTCGGCTGCTCTTTCCTTGCCGAGGACCTCGCCTCTTCCTGCTCTTCCTCCTTCTCCTCCTGTCACGCCTCCTCCTCCTCCCCTCCTCCTCTCCTCCTCCTCCTCCTCCTCCTCCTCCTCCTCCTCCTCCTCCTCCTCCTCTCCTCCTCCTCCTCCTCCTCCTGTCACGCCCCGAGGCCAGTCGGAAGGTCGGGCCGGGTGCTTAGAAATTGGCAGCAGTTTCACAGATGGGGCGCGTGCCGCTTCCAAAATGTGGTTTTCGCTTTAGCGCCGCGCACATTCGTTTTGAGTAATTGTATTCGTTTCACGGGTTGAGGGCGTGTGGTTTTCAAAATGTGGCTCTCGCTTTTGCGCTGCGGACATTATTTCTTGAAATTTGCAGCTGTTTCACGCATTCAGGGCGAGTCGTTTTCAAACTGTGGCTCTCGCTTGAGCGCCGCGCACATTCGATGGACAGCATTGCAAGAGCTTCACGGATTGAGGGCGAGTCGTTTTCAAATTGTGGTTCTCGCTATGGCATCGCGCGCATGCGTTGTCCACAATTGGAATCGTTTCACGGATCTAGGGCGGTCTTTTTTTCCAAAATGTGGCTCTCGCATTAGCGCAGTGCACACTCGTTTCACAAACTTGTCAGAGTTTCATAGTTCTCATGGCTAACGAACAAGATTTTGTGTGTTCGGAGCGATTCAGGATTGTCAGGGTGCAACAGTTATGTTGATTCTCGGCTTGACGTCCCAGGAGTGATGCTCTGGCACGGATCAGGATCGCCAAGACGCAACGGTCTGGTTGACTCGTGGCGTTGGAGTCCAGATAACGGTGTTTTGGCACAGGGAAAATGAACTTTTGTAGGGGCCTTCAAAGAAGGAGCTTGGAGGGAGGGTGTATTCCAACATCGTTGATGACTCTTGGATCACTGGTCCTCCTCCCCCTCCTCTTCCTCCTCCTCCTCCTCCTCCTCCTCCTCCTCCTCCTCCCTCCTCCTCCTCCCGCCTCCCCTCCTCCCCCTCCTCCCTCCTCCCTCCCCTCCTCCCTCCTCCCTCCTCCTCCTCCTCCTCCTCCTCCTCCTCCTCCTCCTCCTCCTCCTCCTCCTCCTCCTCCTCCTCCTCTCCTCCCTCCCCCCTCCTCTCCTCCTCCCCCTCCTCCTCCTCCTCCTCCTCCTCCTCCTCCTCCTCCTCCTCCTCCTCCTCCCTCCTCCTCCTCCTCCTCCTCCCCCTCGTCCTCCTCCCTCCTCCTCCTTTCCACCTCCTCCTCCTCCTCCTCCTCCTCCTCCTCCTCCTCCTCCCCCTCTTCCAGGCCAGTCTGTAGCATCTCTGGCCGAAGCGCAAGGTGGCCCTCGCACGGCGCCGGCGGCGTGGACATGGTATGGAACTACGTAGGGGTGGCGCCAGCGCCGCCACTGCTGATGGCCGCGGGCCCCTTGGGAGAAGGGCTGGCCACCGTGGGCACGCCAGCTGAGGGCAGGGCGCAGCGCGTGGTGCATGCAGCGCGGCTCTGCCGTAGCGCGCCACCTGCGCGTGCCCGCCTGCAGGCTGCAGGCGGCGACCTAGCGCTCGGGTGTGCCTGGGCGGCCGTGACGGGCACCGTGTTAGGCACTGTCAGCAGGAGGCGGCGAAGGGGTTCTCGGGGTTGTGTTTTTGGCGGCCCCGTGTCAATGATGGCCGGGAAGAAGAAGAACTGGACCCACATCGCCAAAATGGAGGTTGAGCCAATGACGTACGATGAGAGAATCAAGAGAAGCAAAGAGAAGTACAAGCATGAGGACCAGATGGCTGCGAGGGAAGAGCGGGCAAGACTGCGGGAGGAGGCCCTGAAGTCCAGAGACGCGGGGGGTGAGCCCACGGGGGTGCCGTGGACCAACATCCCGGCGCGAAGGAAGCCGAAGAGCCGCGTCTCGTATTGGGTGGACCCGGAGGACATCAAGAGGGGCGTGCCGCTCGCTGACGGCGCCGCCTCTGTCTGGCACGTGTCCGACGCGTGCGAGGCCCAGAAGGCCTCCGTCGGCTGGAGCGCCTCCATCGACGGCGCCTCTCAGCCGCGGCGGCGGTTGCGGCGCGCCCGGCAGCAGCCGCGGCCGGAGGCCGCGGCCGCGGCCCCGGGAGGGGAGGGCGCCCCCGCGCAGGCCGCGGAGGCCGGCGAGGGCGCGGGGCGAGCCGTCGACTGGGAGAGCCCGGGCATGGACCTGTTGGAGCGGGCGCGCCTGGCCGCCGAGGATCGACTAGACGTAAGAGTGACCTTTCGCCGGAGTGACCTTTGGTGCGGGCTCATCGGGCTCCCCCCGATCGCCGAGCGCGATGCGATATAAGCGGCCCGCGCCCTTGGGTTTGGCTCCCTCGCGCCCCCAAAAGCTGCGCACCAAAGGTCACTCTTACCCAGGGTCACTCTTACGCCTAGCCGAGAGGAGGGCTGGGAGGAGCGGCTGTGGCAGTCCGGCTACGGCGGGCACGCGGTGGACTACGTCGCCATGGTGCCCGAGGTGCGGGCCGCACGGGGAGGGGGGGACGGGGAAGGGGGGTGGGGTGCGAAATCTGCTGCTTGCCGCTGGTTTCGGCCCCGCCGCCGGGCCCATTCCTCGAATACGTGGCCGCCTCTGGCGCCGGGAGGCGCCGGGAAAATCAGCTACGTGAGCTGATTCTCCCCCCCCCCCCATTTGCTATCCCCCTCTTTCGCCCGGCCCGAGAGGTGTACAAGGGCCGCGTCAGGGACGCCCACCCGAAGGAGGCCGTGAAGAGGCACATCGAGGCCTTGCGGCTAGGGAAGCGGACGAAGCGGAGGCTGCCCAAGGGGCCCAACGGCCAGGCCATCCAGCGCCCGAAGCATTTCTCGGGCTCCGACCCGGTGCACAACGGGCTCATCGACTCCATTGACAATGGGAAGACAAGCCCTCTCGGAGAAATGGCGGTCAGACTGAGCAAGGGATACCTGCGCTTGCAGGCGGAGGCCTACATGAACGGCGTCAAGGGCCAGCATGGAGTTTTCCCCGTCGCAATGCGGCCAGAGGTTGCTTTTATCGGTGCTTCCAACGCTGGGAAGTCTTCGCTGATGAACGCGATCACACGCACACAGAAGCTTGCGGACACGGGTGATCTGCCTGGAGTCACCAGGTCCATGAAGTGGTACAGGCCCAGCGAGCTGCCCATAGATATCATTGACATGCCCGGCTTCGGCTACGCCAGAGGGGCGGAGTTCCAGTCCACCGTGATCGACTTCATTGCCACCCGCAAATCGCTCCGCCTGGTATATTTTCTTGTTGATGCCCGATCTGGTCTCAGACCGCCAGACTGGAGATTCCTGGCACACCTGGGCGCCGAGGGCCCGCAGAGAGCCTTCATTATGACCAAGTGTGACATGTTGCCACCGGGTGATCTTGCGAAGGCGGCCACTGTGGCGCTGCAGGACCTCAAGAGCGTGCCCAAGGCGAGCCCGCGCCTCCTCATGGTCTCCTCGCGCGAGGGCAACGGGATGCACGACCTGCGCATGGACTTGTGCTCGCGCGTCGTGGCCTGGTCCAAGAGGGTCCAGGAGGTTCAGCGCTCCATCGACGCGCAGGAGGGCAACATCCCGCCGCAGGGCGCGCAGGCCGGCAGGGGCAAGCTTCGGCACAGCAGCATGCGCGAGGACATCTCCTCGGTCGGCACGATCTCCAAACTGGAGAAGGTCGACCTACTTGCGCCGGCCAGGAACTTGCCCGAGCGCCTGTGAGCAGAGCTGGCCGGCTCGTTCCGTCCCGTCGTCCTCCCTCTCGTTTCGACCTCGTCGCTGCCGGGCAGAAGATCCGTCGACTGTTGCTGCCCGAAGGGGGACCCTTGGTGTTTGTGTTGACGTTGGTGTGTGGGTCGAGCCCAACTGCGGACGGCAGGAAAACAGGCCCGCCTCAATGGCTAGACGAGGCGGAGAGGGGAGGAAGGGGAGCAGGTGGAAGAGGTAGGAGGGGGGCGGGAGGAGGGGGACGGGAGCAGGCGGCGGGAGGCGCGAAGGGAGAGTGACGAGGGAGGATGGGCGAGGGAAGGGGATGGCACCTGTTTGAGGCCAGGGTTGAAGGCAATTGTTTTCTACTTCTATTGTGAAGGCCTTACGGGCGGTGCCGCCGACCCCCCCCCCCGGCCGGGGAAGGGAAGACAGGGAAGGGGATCGAGTCAGTGTATTGTACGCAGGAGGAAGCGATGAAAGAGGAAAAGACGGAGGAGGAAGGAGGAAGAGGAGGAGGAGGAGAAGGCGGAGGCGGAGGCGGAGAAGGCGGAGGCGGAGGCGGAGGCGGAGGCGGAGGCGGAGGCGGAGGAGGAGGAGGAGGAGGAGGAGGAGGAGGAGGGAGGAGGGAGGAGGGAGGAGGAGGAGGGGGAGGAGGAGGGAGAGGGAGGAGGGAGGAGGGAGGAGGGAGGGAGGGAGGAGGGAGGGAGGGAGGGAGGAGGAGGAGGAGGAGAGGAGGAGGAGGAGGAGGAGGAGGAGGAGGAGGAGGAGGCGAGGAGGAGGGGAGGGGGAGGGGGAGGGGGAGGGGGAGGAGGGAGGGGGACAAGTTAGGTGCGCTCGCGTCAACATCTTACATCCTACCCCTCCCTCCCATCCCTTACCATGGCGCTGATTTTCTCTATCCGCGGGCGCGTGTCGTAGCGGACCTGTGGCTCCGCGCGCGTGTGCGTAGTGGGTGGTGGTGCGCGTGCGTGCGTGCGTGTGTGCGTGGTTGTGGTTGTTGTGGTGGTGGTGTGTATGTGTGTGTGTGTGTGCGTGTGTGCGCGTGTGCTGTGGTGTGACGTGGTGTGGCGTCTTGGTGGTTTGGTGGTGGGCCAGGTGCGTACGTGCGTGATGGCGGTGGTGGTGGTGGCGGTGGTGGTGTGTGTGTGTGTGTGTGTGCGTGTGTGTGTCGTGTGCGTGTGCGTGTGCGTGTGCGTGTGCGTGTGCGTGTGCGTGTGCGTGTGCGTGTGCGTGTGCGTGTGCGTGTGCGTGTGCGTGTGCGTGTGCGTGTGCGTGTGCGTGTGCGTGTGCGTGTGCGTGTGCGTGCGTGTGCGTGTGTGTGCGTGTGCGTGTGCGTGTGCGTGTGCGTGTGCGTGTGCGTGTGCGTGTGCGTGTGCGTGTGCGTGCGTGTGCGTGTGCGTGTGTGTGTGCGTGCGTGCGTGTGCGTGCGTGCGTGCGTGCGTGCGTGCGTGCGTGCGTGCGTGTGTGCGTGCGTGCGCGTGCGTGCGTGCGTGCGTGCGTGCGTGCGTGCGTGCGTGCGTGCGTGTCTGTGTGTGCGCGCGTGTGATGTGGTGTGACGCGGTGTAGCGTGGTGATGGTGGGTGGGGTACTGCAGTGGTGGTGGCGGTGCGCGGTGGTGGTGCGCGTGCGTGCGTGCGTGCGTTGGTGGGTGGAAGTGGCGGTGGGTGTGCGCGCGGCGGGGCGGGGCGTGGTGCGGCGCGGTGGTGGCGGGCGGATGGGCGCGCGAGAAAGAGGCCCGCGCTGGGGCGAGAACGCCATCTTGAACGACGGAGGCAAAACACCGATCCGAAAATGAGGCCCACGCTGCAGCGGGAGCACGATTCGGAACGATTCGGGAGCAGAAATGGGGCCGGCGCCTCAGCGGCATTTTGAAAAAAAAAAAACGCAGGCGAAAACCCAACTCTGGGGAATCGTGTGTATAAGAAAAACAGTACGCGGGGGGGGGGGGGCGAATACGCAAAAGACGTCATCAGGGGAAG